GGCCCGGGCTGGGGATTCGAACCCGCCACCTTAGGTGTATGTGGCTGGTGCCTTAGCCACTTGAGCCACAGGTGCCGAGCCACAACTTATGTTTTAAATGGATCAGTCTGCCTGAGACATTTCTGAAGAGGGGTAAGGAGATATTTAGGAAGCTAAAGCAAGAGACAAGAGACAGTGGTGAACTGGTGCAAGGTATGGAACTCTAGGTTTCAATTAACTGATTTTCATTACAATACCTCCACCTGAGGACAGACAACTATTCGATTTCTCTCTTATCATGAGACTTAAAACCTTATTTAAATACATGCCCAATCCCCACTCTTACCAGGTAAGTCATAAGGAGGTAGTTTAAGAATGAAGATGGCCCCAGAAGCAGATGGCAGAGCAAAGAGAGCCTCCCCATCACTGCTAAGCCAGGCTGCTGAGGTGGTGGAATTAGGGGATATTCCAGGAACTGCTGGAATTAAATGATAGTTGCACGGATCCCTGAAATCAACTCTTCCAATGTCAGTGAATATTGACTGCATCTGACTTTCAATTACCAACTCCTGTGGAGTAATTAAGAAGAAAAATTTGTTAAATCAAAATAAGCCAAATTTTGCTCAGTTTCTCTCAATTGCTAAAAAATCTTTTAAAGTTAAAAACTGTGGAGCTTAAGAAGAAAGCTTTTGAATGGAAACTATTTCTTTTCATCTCATACTGAACCTTATGAAAAAAAAAACAACAACTATTTCTTTAGCTTCAAATATGTCTGATCATTTAAAAATGGTAATTATCAAAGAATGCTTGGTGAGGGATAACAAGAACCCAAACTGCCTTCAGTTCCAAAGAATATCACTCAAGCACTAAATTTGGGACAGCCAGGGTAATTTGAGAAATAAAAGATATTACACTTAAACAACTTACACTCCTATACATCCGGGAAGGGTGTGGTAGAAGTAACCTGTGCACTGTTTGATTGGTCAATATTAATATTATCACATGATTCTGAGTCTCAGAGATATAAACCCCTCCAGGTAAGACACTGCAATTTTGAAATTTTAGGCGAACTGCATTATTCAACAGATTTATGTCCAGTGATTCTTCTACCAGCTCCAATGTATCTCCAGAGGTCTTCCTGTTAAAAAAAAAAAAAGAGACATTTTTAAGCTTTTCTTTCTCATCGACTGTTGCATTGAAATATGTAAGGACAGCATCCAAGTGACTGCCTCAAATTTGAAAATTTTGGATAAACAGATTCAGACCTCTTTTACATTCTAAATCACCACATTATATACATTTATAAAACATGGGATAACAAAATTCAAATCACACTATGATTTTGTTAAATGAAAGCATTTCCAAACTTGATAGCCCACTTATTTAGGACAATATTCAATGCAACTAAACTCAACTGTAATAAAAATCAATATTCCATACCCCCGTTACTTATAGTAGAGCACAGCCTTCACATATACTACAGTGTCAGACAAAACTGATGTTAATAATTGTGGGTGTTTCCCCCTTCTATTACTTCTTAGCTGGCAATAGAACAAAAGAATAGCAATTTTATGGGTTTTACCCTTATAGTTATGTGAGGTACAGTATTTCTCATTAAATAAATATTCTAATCTAGGCACAGTGGCTCATGCCTGTAATTCCAGTACTTTGGGAGGCTGAGGCAGGAGGATCATTTGAGGCCAGGAATTTAAGACCAGCCTGGGCAACACAGAGAGATCTTGTATCTATAAAAAAACAAATACAAATTAGCCAGTGTGGTGGTATGTGCCTGAAGTCTGAACTGCTCAAGAGGCTGAGGCTGAAGGATTGCTTGAGCCCAGGAATTCAAGGTTACAGTAAGCCACGACTGTGCCACTGCACCCCAGCCTGAGCAACAGAGAAAGACCTGGTCTCTCTCTCTCTCTTTTTTTTTCCAGCAGTTTTTGGCCAGGGCTGGGTTTGAACCCACCACCTGCGGTATATGGGGCCAGCACCCTACCCCTTTGAGCCATAGGTGCCACCCTCTCTCTCTTTTTTTTTGTTTTTTTGAGTCAGTGACTCACTTTGTTGCCCTCAGTAGAATGCCGTGGTGTAATAGCTCACAGTAACCTCAAATTCTTGGGTTCAAGCAATTCTCTTGCCTCAGCCCCCCAGGTAGCTGGGACTACAGGTACCCATCCAACACCCAGCTATTTTTTTTTAAAGAGACGAGGTCTTGCTCTGGCTCAGGCTGGTCTTGAACCTGTGAGTTCAGGCAATCCAACTGCCTCAGCCTCCCGCAGTAATAGGATTACAGGCGTGAGCCACTGTGCCTGGCCCAAAACCTGGTCTCTTAAAATATATATATATATATATATATATATAGTAATAACTTTGCATGACTGGGTGGGGTGGCTCACTCCTATAATCCTAGCATTCTGGGAGGCTAAGGCGGATGGATTACTTGAACTCAGAGTTTAAGACCAGCCTAAGCAAAAAGCGAGACCGTGTCTCTACTAAAAATAGAAAAAATGAGGCAAGAAGATCACTTGAGCCCAAGTCGGAGGTTGCTGTGAGCTATGATGCCATAGTACTCTATCCAGGGCAACAACTTGAGTCTCTGTCTCAAAAAACAACAACAACAACAATTTACATATTGAACATACTAAGGTAGGTTTACCATTACTCCTCAAAAGGAACCTGCTTAGTAATAAATGATGGTGTAGAGTTTATTTTCCTAACATCTGGCTCCTGGTTTTAACCTCTTTGTTCGTCTAAAGTAAACATACGTTTCTACTAAAATTGTTCTGACTATAATGTCTTTTTTCAAGCATCTCATCATCTCAAATGTCTTTCATTTTCCCTTCCTTTTTTGTGAATGCTTCTTTGCCTAAAGCCAGGACTGATCATATCCTAGAATTATCCCACCATAAATCCTTCTTTTACTAAAACTATGCCCTTACTCCTGGGATTGTCATCTTTGACATCTGTAAATACTTTGATTTCTGACTGTTTCATCTTACCTATAACTAGAAAAGAAAAGACATCTATGTTATGAATAAATACAGGGTTTTCTTTCTTTTTTTTGCTTTTTTTGCTGTTTGAACCCACCACCTCCAGCATATGGGACCAGTACCCTACCCTTTTGAGCCACAGGTACCGCCGCCCTTTTTTCTTTTTCTTTTCTTTTTTTTTTTTTTTTTTGAGACAGAGCTTCAAGCTGTCACCCGGGGTAGAGTGCTGTAGTTTTCTTTCCACAGAGCTAAAAGAGTTTTAAAAATCTATCAGCGCCTGTAGCTCAAGCGGCTAGGGCACCAGCCACATACACTGGAGGTGGCAGGTTTGAATCCAGCCTGGGTGGGCCAAACAACAACTACGAAAATAGCTAGGCATTGTGGTGGGCGCCTGTAGTCCCAGCTACTTGGGAGGCTGAGGCAAGAGAATCGCTTAAGTTGGAGGTTGCTGTGAGCTGTGATGCCACAGCATTCTACCCAGAGCAACAGCTTGAAACTCCGTCTCAAAAAAAAAAAAAAAATCTACTGGTCCTGGCTGAGTCGCTGTGGCTCAGTGGTTAGGATGCTGGCAACATGCACCAGGGCTGGTGGGTGAATTCACTGTAACCTTGAATTCTCAACTTCTGTGATACTATTTTCTCCTAGATTTCTTCTTCCTATCTCCCCAACCTGATCCCCCATGTTAGATTTCCTCAAACCTGATCCTGGGTCATCTTCTTTATTCCCAAGGGCATACATATCTCATCCACTCTTAGGATGCAAGGATGATTCCCCAGAGCTACTCGACTCAATTATGGTATTAGTACAATTTTCTGGATCCTCAACTTGATCTCTAAAGAATATCATCACATTCCAGAGTTATGTTTTTTTCTTTTCTTTTTTTTTTTTTGCAGTTTTTTGGATGGGGCTAGGTTTGAACCCACCACCTTCGGCGTATGGGGCTGGTGCCCTACTCCTTGAGCCACAAGCGCTGCCCTTTTTTCTTTTTTTTTTTTTGAGACTGGGTCTCCCTAAGTTGCACTCAGTAGAGTGCTGTGGTATCACAGCTCATAGCAACCTCAAACTCTTGGGCTTAAGCGATTCTCTTGCCTCAGCCTCCCAAGTAGCTGGGACTACAGGCACCCGCCACAATGCCCGGCTATTTTTTGTTGCTGTTACAGTTGTCATTGTTGTTTTAGCTGGCAGCGGGCTGGATTCAAACCTACAAGCCTCAGTGTATGTGGCCAGCGCCCTACCCACTGAGCTACGGTGCCGCCCTCTAGAGTTATGGTTAAAGTTGGGTCCAGGCTAAGGACACTACACCTCTCCCAACCCCACTTTCTTTTGTTGTTGTTGCTGTTCAGGTAGAGTCCCACCCTATAACCTGACCAGAGTGCAATGGCATCACAGCTCACTGCAACCTCTGACTCGGGCTGTGGGCAGCCCACGGCCTCAGCCTTTGGAAGCTGCTGGGATTACAGGTGCTAGCTGCAGCGCCCAGCTGGCTTTTGCATTTTTTTATGTGTCGGGGTCTCATTCTTGCCCAGGCAAGTCTCAGACTCCTGACCTCAACCAATTCTCCGTCCTCATCCTCCCACAGTGCTGGGATCACAGGCATGAGCCATTACTGTGCCCTGCCTCCCCCCTTCTGTATCATGCTCCTTGTAGTGGGGCATCAAAGTATGGCACAGATGTTCTGCTTGTTCCCCACCGCCATTCCTGGCCACTACTACTCTCTTCTTGCCTGCCCCACTTGGCTCTGAAGCTCAGAGAATCAGACACCACCTGCTACCCCTGCTTGCTGCAGTTATTCAAAAAATTCTCTCATTAATCTTATTGTTTGTACCCTTATAAACCTGTCTGAAACAAAATTCTTGGACTCACCAAATCTGAAAAACAAACAAAAACACCTGCTTCACCTATACTTTTTTACATCTGAATTAATGGTATCTCTCTAACTTCCAGTTACTCAAGCCAAAAATCTGGGGATCACCACTGATTCTTGTGTTTCTTTACATTCCTCATCTGAGGCAGCAGCAGTTCCAACAAATCCATCTGCAAAGCACCTCCAGAACCAGAACATTTCTCACTGCCTCTATCACTCAACACCCAGCTTTAATTTAATCTGAAATTTTAAAAAATTTCTCTCCTTCCTTGAAGACTAGTTCCTGGCCCACGGCCATCCTCTCCTACACTATTCCTGCCACATTCTGAATGATTTCAATAGCTATATTTTCCCTAATACCTTGTCAGTTTCCTCGATCCCTCTCCTCTAGTGGTTGTCCTCACCTCTAGCTATCAAATCATTCCCAACTACACATAAATATACTATAATATTTCCCCTCTCTACCAATGCTCTCCACCTACCCTGTGATTCCCGCTTCCCTTACATCACTCTTTGAAAGAGTTGCTCTGTGCTCACAATTCCTCTCCTTCCCTTCTCTCTTAAACATGCTCCACTGAGGCTTTTGCATCCTACTGGAGCAGCTCCTGACAAAGCCATCAGTGACCTTCATGAAGTGTTTCTCAACTCACCTGACTTACATACAGCACTTGACAGTTTTCCTCTCTCTTCCTTCTTACCATCTATCTCTCAGCTTCTAGGACCCTGCTGTTTGACTCTCACTTCAGTTGTTATTCCTCCTCGTGTTTCTCGTATTGTAATTGTTGGAGCCTTCTAGGGTTCAGTCCTCAGAACTCTGTACAACTGGTTCTCAACTGGGGGTGATTCTGCCTCACTTCCCAAAGATATTTAGAAATTATCTGGAAAGGTTATCATAACTGGGGCAAAGATGTGGGTGTGCTATTGGTATACAGTGTGTAGAGGCCAAGGATGCTGCCCAACACCTTATATGTATAAAATAGTCCCTGACAGTGAAGACTTACCTGGTCCCAAATGTAAATAGTGCAGAGACCGGCAAACCATGATTTATTCTCATTCTCTAGGCAATCTCATTCAGTAAAACAGTTTTAAGTGCCACCTACTGCCAACAATTCCCAAATCTGTACCTTCAGCTCAACTTCTCCACTAAACTTCTGACTATTTTTGTTTTTTTTTTATAGAGACAGTGTCTCACTTTATCGCCATTGGTAGAGTGCTGTGGCATCACAGCTCACGGCAACTGCCAGCTCCTGGGCTTAGGTGATTCTCTTGCCTCAGCCTCCCAAGTAGCCGGGGCTACAGGTGCCCACCACAACGCCCAGATATATTTTTGTTGCAATTTGGCAGGGGCTGAGTTTGAACCTGCCACCCTCAGTATATAGGGCTGGCGCCCTACCCACTGAGCCACAGGCACTGCCCCAAACTCCTGGCTCGTTCAACTCTTCACTTGTATATCTAACAGGCATCTCAAATTAAACCTGTCTAAAACAAAAATCCTGGACTCACCAAATCTGAAAAACTACAAAACACCTGCTTCACCTATACTTTTTTACATCTGAATTAATAGTATCTCTATAATTTCCAGTTACTCAAGCCAAAAATCTGGGGATCACCACTGATTCTTGTGTTTCTTTACATCCCTCATCTGAGGCAGCAGTAGTTCCAACAAATCCATCTGCAAAGCACATCCAGAACCAGAACATTTTCCACCGCCTCTATCACTTAACACCCTGGTCTAAGCCATCATCATCTCTTTTTGGATTGTGGCATCAGCATCCTAACTGGTCTCGCTGCTTCTACCCTTACTCCCACTATACTCTATTCTCAACATAGCAGCAGCAGTAATCCTTGAAAACACAGATCTTAGATCATATGTCATTCCTTCACTTAAACACTCCAATGGCTTCTTCCCATCTCACTCAGAACTAAAGCCAAGCAAGGCCTTAAAATAACCAACAAAGCCCTGATCTGTTTGGCTCTCAGCTGCATCTTTCTTACTATTCTACTCTTTGTTCGCTCATCTGCAGTCTTGGCCCCTTGCTATTCTTTCAACACAACATACAAGCTCCTGGATGGGGTTCTTTACACCTTGTTTCTTTTTCTTGGAAAGCTCTAATTAAAAAGCTTATCTCCCAGATATTCTTTCTTCTTCTGCTCAAATGTCAATTTATCTCTGTGTCTCGCCCAACCACCCTATATAAAACATTAAATACTGTAGACATTCCTCTTCTCCTGCTTCCCTATTTTTTATTCCACTTATTACCTGACACACTACCTTTACTTAGGGGAATTTTTTGTTTTTGTTGCTACTGCCCATCTCATGACAGCGGGAACTTTGTTTTGTTCCCTGCTATATCCCCAGACCCTAAAGATTGACTGAAACATATTAGGCACATACAAATTTCTTAAATAAAATTTTTATCTTTAACATGTTCTCTTTTGAACCTTAGACGTATAAATTTCAATATCTCCTTTCACTGCCAAAGGACTGCTGCCCAAGCACATAAAATTTAGTATGACCAAAAGAATTACTCACATTTCTCTGAATCCATCTTTTATATCTCAGGAAATGGCAACCTCTCCCAAACCATATCAGTTATTCATATCTGAAACCAGGGAGCTGTCATTGCTTCCTCCCTTTCCCTTCCCATCTCCTATCCCACACTCAATCTATCACCAAATTCTAGGGAATCTACCTTCTAAATGTATCTTTTTTTTTTTTTTTTGAGACAGAGTCTATGTCACCCTTGGTAGAGCACCATGGCATCACAGCTCACAACAACCTCAAACCTCACAGCTTAGGCGATTCTCTTGCCTCAACCTTTCAAGTAGCTGGGATTGCCACAATGCCCGGCTATTTTTTTGTTGTAGTCGTCATTGTTGTTTTAGCTGGCCCAGGCCAGGTTTGATAACCTGCCAGCCTCGGTGTTATGTGGCTGGCACCTGTGCTATAGGTACTGAGCCTAAATGTATTTTAAATCAATCTTCTCTTTTCCTAGTCATTCCCACCAGCATCCCTTACATGGGCCATTGAAAAAGAAAGCGTTTTTTTTTTTTTTTTGTATTTTACCCATCCAATCCAAATCTACGTTCCACAAATCAGACTAATCTTCTAAAAATGCAATTTTGATCAGGTTGGTAAACTCTTCAAAAACCCTTCAATGATGGTTTGATGTATGTATTTAGGATAAAATCCAAAAATCCTTAAAAAATATGTGTACTTAGGATAAAATCCCTTAAGGATTTTTTGCTCAGTGAGTAGGGCGAAGCCCCATATACCGAGGGTGGCGGGTTCAAACTCAGCCCCAGCCAAACTGGCACAAAAAAATAGCCAGGCGTTGTGGCGGGTGCCTGTAGTCCCAGCTACTCAAGAGGCTACTCAAGAGAATCGCCTAAGCCCAGGAGCTGGAGGTTGCTGTGAGCTGTGACGCCTCAGCATTCTATCAAGGGAGACAAAATGAGATTCTGTCTCTAAAAAAAAAAATCCTTAAAAATTACCCAAGGGTCCGTCACGGTCTGAGTCTTGCCAACTGTCTAGCCTCAATACCACTCATATCACTTTCTGTTTTACCTACTGCACTTACGCCACACAGACTTTTGGTCAGTCCCTCAAACCTGGGACGGCCTTTCCACACGGTGATACTGTTTGCTATACTGTTCTTTACACCATTCCCCATGGCTGGCTAACCTTTCATCCTTCAGATCTTAGGCTAACTGAATTCCTTAAAGCCTCTTCTTGCCCAACTAATACCATTTAGTTCTCCCATTAGCCTCTCAAAGTCCCTGTATTTTTCCCTAGGGGAAGTATGAATATTTGCATTTATATACTTGTGTCTTGGTAATCAGTTCAATATCTCTTTCTTCCACAAAACTGCCCCAGGAAAGGTAGGTCCACATGTATTCTTATATCACAACATCATCTCAGGATAACGAAAATGGTGATTGTTTTCGTTCATCATTTCATCCAAGCACCTCGCATAGTACCTGTCATGTAGAACCTCTAATCATATTTTTGGAATGAAAGAAGCTGTAAAGCACTATAAAAACATAATGGGTTCATGTTTAAAACTGGTCTTAAGGGCTTTATCCCCTAAGCCACATTCCTTCCGCTGTTGTTTGGGGGGAGAGGGTTACCTCTCCTAGAACTCTGTCTCCTCAGTCTTCACCTGATTCTGACCTGAACTGAAAACAGTCTTTCTCTCTCCCTGTCGATTGCGGCTTTGCAAAATGACACTCTGGCAACAGTGACAAAAATTTACACACTGAACCCTACCTTCCAGGGGGTTTTGGCGAAGTGCAGCACTTACCAATGAATGAACCTGTTTCTGGTAACGGAGAACAACTTGCCACTTTCCCCATAGTAGAAGCCTCCCGCGCTCTCACTGTATTTCACAGCGCCAGTCACAGCGCTTGCAGTCCCTGCAAAATGAACGTGGTCAACCTACATACGTGGTTCACTGCAGATGACAGGTGCTGAGAAAGCAGAGGGTGACGGATTGACAATCCATACAAAGAAAAGAGGAAGACGTCGGGCACCAAAGAAGCCCCGATCCTGAGGCTATAGGCATGTGGACCAAGGAGGATGAACCTGGGGGCGGTCTGAGAACCCAGAGGGGAGCCCGAGGGGAAGGATCGGATCGCGCCCTCCCCGGCCACATCCATACCATCGCCGCTGACTGTGAATTCCCGAAAGTGTCTCGGCCGTTCGCGTTCGGCTCCGCACAGCTCCACGAAGCTCCGTTCCAGGGATCCCGCCGCCGCCATCTTCCCGCCGCCGCCGCGATGCCCGACGGGACACCGGCGGGGCCCGCGGCTGCTGTCACTTCCGGGGGCGGGCAGGTGCAGCGTCCCGGGGCGGGGAAAGCGGGTCCGACCCTTTATTGCGAGAGGTTTTACGGAGAGAGTAAGGGTGGGCGGGGGAAAGCGACTGTATCTGCGGGACTCTGCCAGTGGCCGGCCGGGACGCCCCCAGAGGGCGGTGTCCTTCTCCCGGCGGCCTCCGCGCAGGGGGCGGCGCGGGGTTTGTTTCCATTTTGAAAACGCCGGCGCTGGCTGCGGGGCTGTCTCTGGGAGCGGCGAGGTCCGTTCGGCGTCTTTGCGGATCCCAAGAACCTCTACCTGCGTCAGGGTTCTCGGTCTATACACCTCCGCTGGGTCTCCCTTTAGTCCCCTTTCATCGGCACGTGGGAAAATAGGCAACGAAAGGGAGAAGGGCCTTCTGGCAATTCTTCGACTATTTTACACTATTCGCGAATCTAACGTAATGAAACATCATAACGTGTTTAAGCGTTGATGCTGCAACCTGCCTAGGTTACTTAAGTGTGGCTTGCATACGTGAAAGGAATTTGCCTCTCATTCTCACCCTGATCTTGCTCTTGGCTGCCAATGCACTAAGTGTCTATAGTGGATATTACGGAAGTAGATGCTCAAAATTGAGGAAAACGCGAATTTCCAGAGGGAAAGGTTTTGTTCCTTAATGCTAGCCGGCGTTTGTTAAGCAGCTCTGTAACCTTGTTACCACCAGCGACCCCAACTATTCTGTCATTTTCCGTTTTATCTCGTTCTGACCATTATCCCCCATTTATCCACCTCACTCTGTCTAGGACACCAACTCCAGCAATTCCATCTCCTCGTTTCACTAAAAGATCCACGACCTTTTAGTTGTCCCTCACTTCCTTTGTGTCTTTCTCTCCTGCTTAAATTCCATTAAATTACTCTCTTGCCTAACTCTCTTCATCACGCTCTGGTAAAACCTGTAACTTACATTAAATCCAAATCTGTAGCTGAACGTTAGAGAAAATACACACACATACTGACTTGCCTCCGTCTAACTTCACCAGGATCATGAATCTTGAGTGGGCTGATAATGCCTGTCCAACAAACACATTGAATTTTACGTGCCCATTTACTGTGCAAATGAGGGTGTTAGGGGGTTTTTTGCAATTTTTGGCGGGCCAGTTCAAACCCGCCACCCCCGTATGTGGGGCCGGCACCCTATTCCTTGAGCCACAGGCGCGGCCCCATGAGTATTTCTTTTTAATTTTATTTATTTATTTATTTTGAGACAGAGCCTCGCCCTGGGTAGAGTGCTGTGGCTTCATAGCTCACAACAGCAACCTCAAACTCTTGGGCTTAAGCGATTCTCTTGCCTCAACCACTGCGCCGGCCCGAGCCCCAAATGAGTATTTCATAACTCCTTTAACCCCCAACAGCTCCTTCATCCTCATTCCCAGCTTGCTTCTTTACTTAGAAAATTAAAGCAATCAAAAGAGGACTTTTAGGCCGGTGAGGTGGGTCACGCCTGTAATCCTAGCGCTCTGGGAGGGAGGCTGAGGTGGGTGGATTGCCTGAGCTCACGGGTTGGAGACCAGCCTGAGCCAGATCGAGACCCTGTCTCTAAAAATAGCTGGGCAATGTGGCCGGTCCTATAGTCCCAGTGAGAACTACTTGGGAGGCTGAGGCAAGAGAATCGTTTGAGCCCAAGAGTTTGAAGTTGCTGTGAGCTATGATGCTACAGCTCTCTACCAAGGGGGACAAGGTGAGACTCTGTCTCAAAAAAAAAAAAAAAAAAAAAAAAAAGAGAGAACTTCCTCTACTAGGATATCTCCCCACCTATCAGCATCTGTACCCAGATATTTTGCCTTCCCTTCCCTTAATATAAAATTGAACTGTCTGAGCTTATGGTGAGACGATTTTTCTCCTTCTACCTTAGATCTCCTGCTGAAGGATATTTTTCCAGAAACTCATGTCTCCTGTGTCTTCAGTTTTTCCCCTTGTTACCAAGTTGTTCCTCTGAGCATACGAACATGCTCTTATTTCTCCTGCCTACCACAAAGACTCCACTCTTCGCAGCTGCTGCCTCATACCCCATATCTCTACTACAGCAAAATTTAAGAACATTCCTTTTGGCTTGGCGCCTGTGGCTCAACTGGCTAAGGCGCCAGCCACATATACCTGAGCTGGCGGGTTCAAACCCAGGACTGGCCCTCCAAACAGCAATGCCAGCTGCACCAAAAAAATAGCTAGGTGTTGTGGCAGGCGCCTGTAATCCCCGCTACTAGGGAGGCGAAGGCAGGAGAATCGCTTGAGCCCAGGAGTTGGAGGTTGCAGTGAGCTGTGATGCCATAGCACTCTACCCAGGGTGACAGCTTAAGGTTCTGTCTCAAAAAAAAAAAAAAATTCCTTTTCTCTTATATCCACTTTTACCAAGCTTTTCCTCCTATTTTCTTGCTGAAACTGCTTTTTGCAAGGTTGTCAATGATGTTCACATTACCATACTAATACCTAACTGTTATTCTAAGCTTATTTGACACTTGCTGAATTTGACCAGTTGATTACCTTTTCCTCTTGGAAACACTTTCTTCGCATGGCATCCAGGATTCCACACTCCTGATTTCTGCTTGTTTCACTGACTCTTCCTTTTCAGACTCCTTTCCTAGTTGCTCCTCTTTTCCTCAGCCTTTTGACACTGGAGCTCCAGAGCTCAGTTCTTAGGCTTCTGTTCTGTCTATATTCACTCCCCTGAGGATCTCATCAGGTCTTGTGGTTTTAAATACCAAGTTGTTATATGCTGATAGTTCTTAAAAGTATATCTTCAGTTCAAACATTTCCTCTGAAAATATTCTGTTGCTGCTTCTGTATCACAGATTTCACATGTCTAAAACTGAAGTCCTGATATGTCCAAAACTGAAGTCTTGGTTGGGCAAGGTGGCTCAACGCCTGTAATCCTAGCACACTGGGAGGCTGAGGCACGTGGATTGCTTGAACTCAGGAGTTTGAGACCAACTTGAGCAAGAGCAAGATCCCATCTCTAAAAATAGAAAAACTAGCTGGGCTTTGTGGCAGGGACTTGTAGTCCCAGCTACTTGGGAGGCTGAGGCAAGAGGATCACTTGAGCCCAGGAGTTTGAGGTTGCTGTGAGATATGACTCCCTGTATGGCACTCTACTCAGGGCGACAAAGCAAAAGTCCATCTCAAAAAAAACAAAACAGGGCTCAGTGCCTGTGTTTCAAGTGGCTAAGATGCCAGCCATATACATCTGAGTTGGAGAGTTTGAATCCAGCTGGGGCCCGCCAAACAACAATGATGGCTGCAACCAAAAAATCGCCTGGCTTTGTGGCAGGCACCTATAGTCCCAGCTACATGGGAGGTGGAGGCAGGAGAATCACTTGAACCCAAGAGTTAGAGGTTGCTGTGAGCTGTGATGCCACGGCACTCTAGCCAGGGGGACAGCTTAAGGCTCTGTCTCAAAAAAATAAAATAAAAACCCTAAAGTCCTAATCTTTTTTTTTGAGACAGAGCTTCAAGCTGTCCCCCTGGGTAGAGTGCGGTGGCATCACAGCTCACAGTAACCTCCAACTCCTGGGCTCAAGCGTGTCTCCTGCCTCCGCCTCCCAAGTAGCTGGGACTACAGGTGCCCGCCACAACTCCTGGCTATTTTTTGGTTGCAGCCATCATTGTTGTTTGGCGGGCCTGGGCTGGATTTGAACTTGCCAGCTCAGGTGTATGTGGCTGGCACCTTCGCCACTTGAGCCACAGGTGCCAAGCCTAATCTTTTTCTTCATACTTACTCCAACTATGACTATTATATTTCTAATTTCTCAAGCCAGAATCTCTGGAATCATCTTTGCATCCTCTTTTTCTCTCATCGTATATCCAATCAGCAAAGAAATCTTGTTGACTGTGCCTGCACAATACATTTACAGTCCAACTGTTTCTCACATTTCTGCCCTTGTGTCAACCACTAGCATTATTGCTTCCCTGCTTTCTGCTCTCATCCTCCACCCTTCTACTAGACTCCACACTCTATGAATCATGCCTGACATGTAAGTATTTGGCAAGTGAATGAATGAACAAATAGTCCAGGCAAGAGGTGGTGAGGACCTGAGTGACATGGAGATGAAGAAGGGAGTAGATTAAGGGAATATTCAGGAAGTAAAATCAATGGGATCTGGTCTGGAGAGTGAAAGTGAGAGAGGGGCCAAGTCCAGGATGACTCCTGTTTTTGTCTTGACAACTGATGCCGTAAACTGGGTGGGAACAGTAGAAGAATAGCAGGTCTAGAGAAGAGAGAAGAAAACTGAGTTGTATTTCCTTGTAGAAACATCAATCAATACTGACATTAAAGTTTATAATATTGCTGAATGCGAATTATGGATTATTGAACAGTACTACTATTTAAAACTTTTTTTCCTGAATCAGGATTTTAAGCTCCTGCAACTCATCATTTTTATCTTGCACTAAATAAAGTACTATACTGAGACTATGCACTAAAGGTGAGAGTGGCATTTTTTTAGGTGATTTTGAAAAAAGTTATCAACACTTTTACTGTCACTATTTACAAAGTCCTGGTTGTCTGAGTTATAAATGACCATGACACAGTAGTGTGTGGCATATTACAGCTGAGAGGACTGTTCTGAAAACTGATTATTTCCAACTTCATATCTAGAGGTCAGGCCTCTTTCCTCAGTTCACAGTTTTTATACTCAGCTGCCTCCCTGACATCACTTGGATTTCCCACAGACATCTCAAACTCAGCACATCTAAAATGGAACTCATTTCTTCACTCTGTGCACTCAGCTGCCTCAGGTATGCTGAGGTGTTCAGGTATTCACAGGCTCAGGTATTCTGTGTCTGTCTGTGTGGCTATCACTACCCAGGTACCCAGGCGAGAAATCTAGTAATTAGATTCCTGGACTTTTCTCTCTTATTCCCAACATCCAAATCTCATGTATCTATATGGCAAATAGATTCAAAAATTTATTGACATTCGTTCTATGGAGAGGTGTAGTC